TTATTGTGTTTTGAAAGTAAAAGCAAAATAACCTTCCAACCACTAAAAAATTATAAGAAATCCTATTAAACATAAATTTTATATTATATGGAAAATACGAATAAGAGTACAATTCTTACATGTTCGTCCATGAATATCATCTCAATCGAATTCGTCATCTTCTCATCATTATACACCGGCATCTTGTACAGTCGAATCACACGAACCAAAACTCTCCAGCATTCACTTGATGGATTGATCTTCAACAGAGGGTAGATCGGTTTGGAAGACATGTCAATTAATCAGAGATTTTAGGTATGAACGCGGCTTACAATGAAAAAATAGATTGATGAAACTTAAAATTTGATTTATATATGACCTAATATAAATCGCAAGAAGGAAACTTACAGCAAAAAGAATAGAAAATCCAGAGATTTGAACCGGAGATTTCGAAAAAAGAACAAATTGCGCAGAGGCTAATCATCATAAGAAGGAAAGAAGGCCAATCATCCCAAAAAAATTATGTTTTTTTAAGAAAAGGGAAAGTTACCTATTCTTGGTACTGATAATTGGAATCTCCGTGAAGAAGGACCGTGAAGAAGGAAAGAGATTAATTCCAATCACATATTCTCTGAAATCTCGCGATGGAGCCATTCGAAGATGAATATCGCAGGGAGGTGCAATCGAAGGAAAGTGCCGCTGATGTCTCGCTTCATTCAGACTTGCGGATGAATTCCACATAGAGTAGCCCAAATAAAAAAAGCCCAAAGTAATAAATCATTATCTATCCAACCCGTTTGAAATATTGAGTAAGTCCAATATGATGACATGGCTTATGAAGTGTCAAAAAAAATCACCGTCAGCATGACAAATGTCAAAATTCTGGGAGTTAAACTCCCAAATATAATATATAAAGGATAAAGGATTTTAGAGTTAGTCTCCTAGAATTGCGACAAGTGGCGAATCTACATGGCAATATTTTAACAAATCACCGGCTGCCTATTAACGATTGAATGATGTGGCAATTTTAATCAAAATATGGGTAGATCCAATATAAAGTTGTATACGGAGTATATGTCTTATGTACAATGTCGCTATAATTTTTTGGAAAAATTTACTCTGTATCACAATAAGAAAAAACATGGAGAAAATACCAAAATAAAAATGCATATTTTATCTCCAAAATAGGAGCCACCAAATATTAAGAGATTCCTTAGTTTCAAAAAGAACTTATTGTTAATGTATTTCTACCGAAAGACAATGTTTGTTCTATATATTGAGGTTAAAGTATACAAAATTGACAAAAAAAGTCAATTGAGAAGATCAAATCTAAACACAGAGGGAGAATTGTTGAAGAAATTAGAACATACATGAAATTTTATGCAATTGAGTGAGAACTAAAATTCCTTTTTCTTATTAAAAAATTTAAAAAATCAACTTCTAAAATAATTAAAATAATACTCCCTCTGTCCTAAAACTTTCTTCCCGATTCGCAAAACGAAGAAAAATCTCGAGTTTTTTCAATCTATTTTATTTAAATATTGGTATAAAAATAAAAAATAAAACATACATATTTAAAAACTACATCAAAAGTTCAACAAAACAAGTGGTGACAAGAATATTTTATTTTATCATATAGGCCATGAAAAAACACAAATAAATATAAATTCCCGTGAAGTTGGAATAGTGCTCTGAGAAGAAAGTTTTAGGACGGAGGGAGTAGTATAAATTTTTGAAATGAATTTCTAAAATAATAGTTACATTTTTCACATAAAATTTTAAAAAATTATCACGTAAAAATAATCATGTATATTTTACATACCAAATTTTTTTTCACTTGATATGAATTTATTTTTCAACAGCAAAACAAATATTGTTACAAGGGTTTTCACAAAGAAAAATTACATAAGCATTTTAAAATAATCATAGGTATTTCGCTTTTGACTTCATTGAAGTCACAACTACTACTTTTTAAAAAACACAAAAAATATTGGCATGGGATATATACAGCAAAAAAATATTTGCAAAAAAAAAAAAGAATCACATATTTTTCATACGCGAATTTTATCAAAATTTTACATGAATATAAAGTGGGGTATCGGAGGCGAGTTAATCCTTATTCGAAATTTACTAGCGTGAACATGAGTGGCTAATAGAAGGACACAAATTAAAACATTAAGATGCCCCTAAATGCAAAATTGGAATAAAATTATAATTATTATAATGGAGACCTAAACTAGAAAAAGGTTAATCTGACAGGGTCATTTTGAAAAATTACTCTACATTTAAATGTTGAAAATACCTAAATTTCCTCCATTGAACATCCATTTAACAAACATATACGAAAGACACTGAGTGAATAAATCTCATTTATAAAATACTGCATAGATAATTAATGCTTAATAACACTGATTTGGAAAAAATACATTATTCAAAGAGACTATTTTGAGATTGCTCAAAGAAATTTATACTTTATAATTAGTTGACTAAAAGACTTAAGACTATATTTTTTAAACGAATTATACGTGTCATGATTATGTACTTTATTTTTAGACAAATGGATAATACGTATACTATGTGATTGACTCAATGCATATCTTACATAGAAGTTTTGTTTATGGTAAAATGACTAATTGTGATATGAAATAAAAGTATTTCCATAAAATTTGACTATTTTTAAAATATTGAATATTTAAAATAAATAAATTAGAAAAAAGATTTAATAAGACTCTTATACTTTATCTTGGTAACTTGGCTTACTATTTTAATCAAAATAATCTTATATTGTAACTTACAATTTACTCAGTACATACTTATATTGTGTTATAATTCAAAATGTTTATAAATAATTAAAAAATTTTGAATGAGAGAGGACTTACTTCCTACGTTTTCATTTACCCAATTGTACATGGAAACTTCATAGGATGATAATGATTCTTTTTCCTCACATTAATTTAAAAAACCTAAATTACCGACCTTATAATTATATATTCTTTCTGTCCCTGAGTATTTGTCTACTTTTGATTGTTTTTTGTCAAAATTGGTAAACTTTGACGTCAAATTAAATAAAAATTATATTCGTAAGTTACAATATTCCATTTTTAATTCTCTTTACTACTCTTGTCTGTCTTTATCCCCCGTGGCTCATAAAACTAATTTATGGATTCTATTTTTAAGGTACGTAGATGGCTTCCTAGTGATAATAATTATGTGAAATTTGTATTCAATATGACTAAAACATAATGACTTTCTTAATCTAGGACTTAAACTTTTTTATTCATTAAATAGGACTTAATAATGTCTTCGTGGAAGGAATAATGCCCAGCAATGATGGACATTTACTTGAATAATGACTAATTAATAATGACCAAGGTCCTACATTGGGAAATAAAAACATATGGTGCTATTTTGGGAAAGTCATTATGGGAGAGAGCCCGCACTAACTCTCATTAGAACTACCTTTTGGGTAAAGCCAGCTTCCACAAGGGCGGCTTTGGGCCTGTGCCGGGTTATCCACCGCACTAACTCAAAACAAACTAAGGGTCAATTTTTTTAAGTTACTTTTAGAAAAGTTTTATGAAATTATGTTTCTACTACAAAATTTGAAAACTTATAATAAGATAAATCCAATATAGATCATAGCTTTTATTTAATTGAGATCAAAATTCATTCAATTTAATTTGAGAAAATAAATTACACTAATACATTAGGAGAGAAGCACGTGCATTAACTTTTCCTCAGCTATTGTATGTCGACTTTGTCACAAACTTTTTGAAACTTAAATACGACTATCCTCTAGAAGATGATTGATACGGCGCCTCAAGATTTTGACACAAAATACACACAAAAGCCTTTTTACATATTAAATATCCGTGTATGTCTGTATTGGCATTAACGTGCATTTTATATCAAATTCACAGGGTTCTTCTTGGACTTTGTGCTCTAAAAGTCTATAAAATAAATCTATTAGTACCCTAAAAATGTCCATTTGTTTACTTTAATTTTCACAATTTTTTTAAAAGTAGAGATAAATCCTAGGCTAAGGGTCCCATGATCCTATGAATCTAGGCTTATTTTTGGAACTTTTAACATATCTTAAAGAGCAATGTTCAGTTCACAAACAAAATGATCACAAAATTTACAAACTTAATGTTTATGAATTAAATTCTCATTTTGAAATTATTTTAACTTAATTTATTTTTTATTGAAATTTACAAATAGTAAATTTGTAAATTTTGTGATCATTTTATTTGTGAACCAAGCATTTCTCATCTTTAAATGATTTAGCTTATATTATTTGTTTGTATACAAATTTTGAACTACATTAATTTTAAAAGTAATAAAATTTTGCTTATTCTAAGCGTAACATCACTCTATAATGGAACTTATAGAAGTAGTAATATAGAGGTCCCCTAACATTTGAGTAAATCAGAAAAATCACATATTTTGACTCTTGATGAGAGGAGACTATTTTGATACTAATGTGAAAGAATTTTTTACTTTAAGCTGTAGCCTCTCTATTTCACACCGAGTACTCGGTATCTTTTTTTTGCATTTAATTTTTCTCATTCTCGAATGAAATATTTTAAACATTAATATTTTATTTTATATATAAATAAAGAATATTCAAATATTATATTTTAAAAATTACATTTTAAAATAAATATACTAATATTAAATTGATATCAGAATTCAATATATTTTACTTGTGATTAAAATCTTATGCCTTCTTTCTCAATTTATATCGGATGTATATAGAGTTAATTAGGGGTCTCATCAAATTTATATACTCCCTTCGTCCACAAATAAACTTTACATTACGCGTTACGATGTTTGACTGAAGTTATTTTCAAATCATTTTATATGAAAAATTAAATAGTGTAGAATTGAAAAACAAATAAATTATATATTAAAAAACTATATCAAAAGATCTACAAAACTAGAGGTGACATGACTATATTATTTTATCAAATGAGTGACAAAAATAGACCAACAAAGTGGATAAAGTTTAACCCTGTAAATAGTGAACATAAAGTTTATTTGTGGACGAACTCAAACTACTATCTAAAAATATAACATTTCATTCAAAATGAGAGTAGTAGCATGATTGAATTTCAATCACTATATAATATGGAGCATATATTTTTCATCAAAACTTTAAAGATCGATCATTAGCCCAACTATAGACAAACATAAATTCGTCAGGCCCTGGGTCGTCGGCTGCGGAAAAGAAAAACCCTCTTTCAGAGACAAGCCAACCGTGGTGTGTCTGGTTTGGGAAGTCATCGTGATTGGCATCGTAAACGGGGAAGCTTTTGGCCTTGAAGCCCCAAGAGAAATCACACCAGAATAGAGTCGTCCCGACCTGGATGTGGAACTCGAACTCCTGCTTCTCCTCAAGCGTCCAAGTCCCCGCATCCTGGGACTTGGAATGGCAATGCACCTTGAGTGGGCTCGGAGGCTGGACCGAATTGTTGGTCTGGATCCAATCGTAAATATGTACCACCTTCTCAGAAGGTGGGGTGCTGGCGGTGGCGGATTGTAGATGCAACACCGCCACTATTGAAATGGCGATGAATAGGGAGGTTGATTTTGGAGAAAACATCATCAACATCTTTTTGAACAGATTTGGGTCGAGTTTGAATCACACTAGATGAGTTTCTATCATATCATATATATATATACACACACACACACACACACACACATATATACTCCATGAGTCTCGGATGCATGAGAAGTCTTCAATTGCTAAATTCTTTTAAAAGCAAATTAAAGTAACGGTTTTGTATTGATACAAATGGATCGGGACATCCAATCAGTATTTATTGTTTTTCTTACTAAACGGAAGTGATAAGGAATACTTTATGGTTTTGTATTGATACATATGGATCGCACTATTTTATAAGGAAAATTTTAATAAGGAATACTTTATGGTTTTATGCATTCTATAAATGTTTTCTAATAATTATGATTTCCTTATATACTACCTCCGTCCCAAAAAGATTTACACGTTTTGACTAAAGTTGAAATTAAGGGAGAGAGAATTTTGTGTTGACTTTCCAAAAATACCCTTGATGTGATGGGTAAAAGTAGGGTTGACTTTCCAAAAATTTTGTGTTGACTTTCCAAAAATTTTGTGTTGACTTTCCAAAGTGATAGGGTTAAAATGATTTTTATACTTCCGTAAGTTTTGAGATTTCAAAAATATTACTCCGTATAAAGTTGTACTTTATATGTCAAAGTATTTTGATTTTAGCAGTCTAATTTATATGTCAAAGTATTTAATATTTTAAATCGAAAGATTCTACTTCAATTTTTGTGAAATAATTATAGTTTTTTATAATTATGGATATACTTGGGCAAAGGTCAATGAAATGAATTAAAAAATACAAATTACATTTAAAAAATTATACTTCGTATTAAAGTAATAAAAAAACATTCGTTCTGCCCGTGCATATATGGCACGGGTTGATATGCTAGGTACTCTATAAATTTTAAAGAACGAAATACAAATTAATTATTTCGAGTGACTTGGAGAATTATGAGGCTTTAAATAGAGAATTTGGAATTATAGTGCACCAATTTACCATTTCAAAATCTTTAAATTTGTTTCCTAATTCATAAATTAAAGCTCCATTATTTGTAATTAAAATGTAACGTTCTAATCCGTAATTATTAGGTGCGAATAATGTACAATACTGCGCGTTAAAATTCATTCAAAAATGAGAGCGAAATAAAAATTACTATATCGCTCTTGATATTTTTCTAATAATTTCTAATTTCTTTTATTTTTTAATTTATTCTTTTTAACAAATCAACAATTCCTACTGCAAAAGTGTACTTCTCATTACATATATTTTTCAAACCACGGGGGTGTTGGGGGGGGGGGGGGGGTGAAACTGATTTCCCATTTTCCGTTTATTTCTTGATGATTTCTTTAATTTTCTTGGTTATATTTGTTAAAATCATATTTTTATAATATAATGTTTTAAAAATTCAAAATTGTTCGATGGAGCCAAAATTTCACTATTTTTTGGCTTTGGTGTGTGATGGAATAAATCAAAATGGATCTCTAAACTATTTGCGTTTCTTTAATTAATGAAGTACTCCGTAGCAATTAGTCAAGCAATGCAACTTTCGACGTTGAGCCGGGGGTCTCTTTGGAAACAGCCTCTCTACTTTCGATTAGGGGCAAGGTCTGCGTACACACACCCTCCCCAGACCCTACTCTTGTGGGATTTAACTGGTTTGTTGTTGTTGTTGTTCGTGTTTAAAAACTAAATGAAATGAAAAAAAACTACAACATATAAGTAATACTCCCTCCGTCCTATATTGATCTTTCCACTTCCCTTTTTTCTCCGTCCTAAAATCATCTTCCCACTTCTAAAAAAAGTAGATAAATGACTTTAATACCCTTTAGTTCCATCGTTTCTCCTTCTCTTCCCACTTCATTTAATCTTTTTCTCCATTTCTTCTCTCTCCCTGTTTGCCCTTCTCTCTTTCCCTTTCTTGTCTTTCTTCTTTCTTCCCTTTCTTCCCTTTCTTTTCTTTCTCGTTCTCCCTTCTCTCTATCTTCTCTTTTTCAGATTTTTCCTTTCTTGTCTTTCTTCTTTCTCCCTTTCTTCTTTCGGAACTAATTATTGAAGCCAAATGAGCGAGATGGGTTAGTGGATCTACATGACCGAGATGGTGCAGATGGCTTCGGAGATCCAAATCCAGATGGTGCAGATGGGTTGGAGATCCAAATCCAGATGGTACAGAAGGGGTCGGCGGTGCATATGGATTAGGAGATCCAAATCTGTATTTTTTTTTGTGAAAATTTGTTCCCAGACTTAGCAACGAGATGGGTTAGGAGATCAAAAAATTTTGTTCCCAGAAAATTCTCTGTTTTTCCGATTGCCGCCGTCAAAGAAAATCCTCTGTTTCACCACCGCTTCTGTCACCGAGGAATTAGTTGAGCCGCCGCCGATGCTTAATTCGCCAGAAAGAGGGATCGTTCTTTTTTTAATTTGGATGGGAGTTGGGCTGTTCTCCAAATTTTAGAATGAGGATATTTTTGGAAGGTCAAAGGTATATTTACTCATTCCTTAAAAATGGGCTAAAGTCAATCTGGGAAGATCAATATAGGACGGAGGGAGTACTTCATTTGTCTCACATTAAACATTTCCATTTTATGTTTATGACACATAATGCAACTCATATGTAAATAAAGAAAAATAATTAAAGGAAAGGCACAGTTCATCATTTCATCCAAGAAGCAAAATTCATCAACCAAACATCAAAACACTTCCAGAATCTGGATGGTGTGATGGTACATGTCAACCAACTAGCATTGAAAAACCACAATTAAAATTAAAATGACACATTTTAGAGGGGAAAAACAGCAATCACCGGAAAGCACGATCTTAACAAAATTACTGGTCGCCCGGCATGCTCTTGAGAATGTCGGAATCGCCTGAAAACAAACCATGGTTAGAAACATACATTACATAAAAATGTTGAGTAATGTTATATAAGATTGTCTCCGTGTTTTGGTTTATAATGTTTGACTAAAATTATTTTTAAATCATTTTATATGACAAATGGTATAGAGTTAAAAAATT